GGGTGGCAATCATCAGACAGATTGCATAGTCGAGTTGGTAAGGTGAATAAGTAGGACAGGCCTCGGGTCCTGTCATTTGACTCCACCATCAGTTGTTTTGCAGTTGCACGTCTGTGTGCGCACCATTTTGAGGCCCAAAGTCAGCCAAACCCTGTCACTACCCAAGAGGTTCTTGAGCACATGACATTGGGGAAGGCGACAGGACGTCTCAATTATTGCACAAAGAATGTGAATATGAAAAAGCGCGTAACTCTGATTTGTGAGGCTTTGAAGTGGAGAGACACCAGGCCAAGTCGCAGTGGCGGAGTTTACCTTTGGAAACCGCGCAAGTGTTGCACGTAGTTTCGCCAACCTGAGGCGAGTCGGACTGGGTTTTAGTGATCCAAGTTCTTCGAGCCTCGGAAGGTCTCTCTCTTAGAGCAGAGTCTTGTACAGTGTTTTTTACCTAAATGCGAAACATTAAGACGCCTTATGTAATCATATAACTAACCAATGGCTGCCTTCGTGACTTTGGTCTGAATGTATTCGAAAGACCTGGTGAGTGCAACAAGGTAACAAGGTGCTCCTAAATTGAACACCTATTTACAAAAGATATCTGGTCTTCACTTGAATGCTTTGAGAATCTTGCGCCACATGCTGTTGCCTTGACAGAGGTCTGGTCGCGCTGGCCAGTTGCCCAGAGAACCTAATTTGGCAAACCACTAGTTTTCACGGCATGCTGACTTACTACGTCGTGATCAAGAGTGTTTCCACTTGGTTGCTTTTGGAATCATGTTAATTCGTCTTCTATATCAGCAATTTCATCTTCACGTCACTTTCTAGGACTAGCTTTGGGCTTTGGAACTCCACCCGGGTCTGAGCCTTGGCGAGAAACTCTGAGCCTCGTGTTCTGGTGGAGCTTGCTACAGGCGGAAGCGGCCAGCTGAAGCCTGTTTTGTGGATGATGAGCTCTGACCTCAGAATCTTCTTTCAATCTCGCTCAAACATCTTGCAGCTGCAGACCAAGAGCCTTCTTTCATCCTTTAGGTTTCGCACACCGGAGCGGGAGCAGACCAGGCCATGGGTTGACTTGACTCAACTTGCTAATTGGAGCTTTCTGCCTTCAGCTGATTTTTGTGAAAGAATGACTTTTGGGGTGCTCATGGGTTCTCAGTGTGTCACTTAGCAATGTTGATCAGTTGTGTCCCGGAGTGGCGTTTGATAGGCGATGGATGCCATAACTAGGCTAAGGGACACGAAGACACATGTTACGGCCACGCTACGGTCTTGCCGCGCAGATCCTCACCTGCGGCTGCCCCAGACGAAAGCATCACTGTGACACCACCCAGGCGCAGGTACCGAGCAAGAGAAACTTGGATGAAGTGAAAAGCATACAGTAAAGAAATACACAAGAGAAGACCAAGAAAGCAAAGACAGCAAAACCAAGAGGAGTGAAGAAGGAGGAAGAAGTTCGAAAGAAGCAACGTAACAATGAGAACACTAATGTATCCGACAGACTGTGCCAACGCGTTCAAGCTGACTGGCGGAGTCAATGAATTGATTGGATTGAGGAGAGTCCTTCCTCCGATTCTCGAGCATTGGCTAACAGCGAGGCATCCCTTACGCGTTTGAAGAGTCTGACAGGAGTATGAGCTCGCTTTGTCTATATATATCTATATATATATATATATCGTCTAGTTTAACTGAATGTAGAGTAGATTTTGTGTGTGTTCGACTCATTCAAACATAATGTGTACGAAATAACATTGCAAACTCATGAGCCGACCACTCGCTGTGGGGCACCAGAGCAGGGAGCATTGGGCATGTCAACAGAACAGCAGACTGGCAGACTTATGGCCTATGACTCCTAGAGGACATCTAGAAAACAGCTCACCATCGCCTCGAACCAGACTTCTAAGATACCCAAAGGTACCGGGTGTACTGCCAGCTTCCACCAAAAAAAGAACATATATAGTTGAACTCATGTCATGATTGAAAATGTGCCAATGTGATATGTGTCAGGGCCGGCGCCTGGAAAGGAACGATACGCAGGGCACCAGCGGTACGAGTATCAGTGGATCTCCGGACCGTGTCCTTCCTACATGTCTATTTTTCCCAAACAGTGTGGACACACTAGGGGTTCTTACGGTAGTAGTTAAGCACCGGTGTTAGATTCGAGGTGTCGCACCGGGGCGTCCGGCTAATTCGTTGCAATATACAGTACACTCATGCCTCTCAAAATCCTCGAAGTGCATTTCAACTGGGGAGGCCCACAAAATCTCGGTGTCCGCAGCGGGTGCTTGTGCTTGTCGCGACTGCTCTCTCGTTGCGGCGCTGCGCGCATTTTCGGACACGGTGGTCACTTTTCGCGGCAGGCGCAAGGTCACAAAGCCGACCGGCTTTGGTGGTCCAAAGTCGACTTTTCGGTCGGAGCGGTTATACTTCGAAATGCAGATTTCGTGGCAGGCGCCGTACTTTGGACATGGTGGTGATCTTTGAGGCGCTCCGTTTTTGTGATAGGTGCAGTGAATCGTGACTACCCCTTGTGCAAATTATTTCAGGGTGTGGGTATGTGAGCCAAATATTTTTCCCGAATGCGTAGCGAAGGGTTCCCGTTTATAGTTGGGGGTCTGGGCGTTGGAGCTGTGTTTGCATGGCTTGCGTCGTCTCGTCGTCTCTCGTCGTTTGTCGTCGTCTCTCGTCGTCGCGTCGTCGTCGTCGCGTCTCAAATTTGCTGCCATTGGGGGAAGCTTTTGCAAGTGACTTTTCAT